CCCCCAAAACCCCAAAACCCCAAAACCCCATTTAGGTGGGGGAGGATGGAATAGGATTAATTAAATTTAATGATGGTAGCGATATGGTAAGTAGAATTTTATTAAACAATCTTTTGTTAGATGATTGATCCTGATACGTAGCCTTCCCTCAATAAAGCTTAATGTAAGGCTAGAGCAACTAACTTGCAAGTCAGGAATCTAAGATTCGTAATCACATGTCTTGGGAAAATATTGACAAGGGAATTTTGACTTTTCACGCTTTCGGAACATTCTCAACATTGTTCAAATATTGTCAACTTACGAAGACTCATATTTGGTATTCTGAGACTTTTGCTCTAATTGATTTTAAAATAAGGTTTTGGTAGTATGTAGGTCTTATTGCACCCTAAGGGAAAAGTAATCCTAGTAGTAGATGTAGTCTCAGCTTTAGGGAATCCACGCCTATTTCACAAACTGCTTTTTGCTTTCAAATGAGAGTTTGAACTTGAAGGAGTATTATTCATTTCAGATCTGCTTTATAGCATACATTTATGCTCTTATATCTCAAGAAAAAGGGAGAGAGATATTGACTTTTTATTCGTGCATAAACTTTTTACAGTGAATTCCCTATTATACGCTTTTAGGTGCTCTGGAGGTTTAAAAAATGCCCATTCCCGTTTATAAGACCTGGGTACTATTTCATAGCCTAAGATAAGTAAAAATCTGGTTATTAGCATATCTTTGCATTAGTACCTAAACAAGCCCACCACTTAATGTAACTTTTGTTTTATTCTTATTTTAGAAGAGGTATTAATAACTAATTTTTGCTAATTTTTCTGGAGATATCCTACTGCACTCTACTATCTTAGAGTTATAGCGAATATCCAGACAGTTTACTCTTTGTCAGCCCAGATTTGTAATTTAGAAAGATCTTTATTCTTAGTAATATTTTGGTTTATTAGACAGGGGTAAATTAGAATCAGATAGTATTGTTAGGATTAAGATGATCTTAGCTTTTTGAAGATCCCAAAGAAATTATATGCCCTTTTTAAATATCATCTTTCTAATTTTGGTTGTTAATTCTGGCTCATTTTGGATAATATTAACTATATTGTCTTTGCTAGCCATCACGAATTAAGAAAGGGAAATACTCTATTATTTCTCGTAGAGTTCTCATAATGCTATACTCTATCTATAGAAGCTAAAGAATTTATTTAGATAAAATTTTGCCAAGAATTCATAAAACTAAAACAGTTATTAAATATAAATTTTGGGATTGGAATTTTACAAATTTCAAAAAAATTCTTATCGGTCTCTTCCGCCAAGCCAAAGCGCTGGTTCTTTCCCTATTCTTGTTGAAACAAATAGTAAAAGCTAAAGCTGCTCGATAAAGCAAGGCTGAAGTAAATTTAGACAACAAATTTCATAGAATTTTAATATGTAAAAACGAATAACTTTTAACATATCTTATGCTAAGAGAAGATAACATTGCAAGGGAATTTACACAAGTTTTCTTACATTTATCTTATATGAGGAGTGTTAGATGGTTATTATTTCAAAATTATTTAGTGAAGATCTCAATGTTTTATAAATTTCGCTGAAGAAATCATCATACAAAAAACAAGCTTTATATTAAATAACCTATTTCCATCTTTTGATATACTTTCAAATTAAACTGAGAGGTAACTTAAATATAGGCTTATTTTGATTTTAAAACTAGTTCTGGCAGCACAGTGCCCTGCTGGAACAGACACCTCCATGAAGGTAAAAAGTTATGCTTTCAGATACAATACTTTCACAAATATTGATGTTGTCAATGGGATCTCATGTCCAGATAATTCATGAGTCTTTCTTACTTCAAATGGTTTCAAAAATAGCTGGGACAGAGTCAGTCTCTTCAGGTTTGACTCCAGCCTCAACATGGTGTGGGAGTTCAACCTTGATGATAACATTGCTAAGAACGGAATTGCTTTGCACTCATCAGGGTCTAACTTGGTCTTGGTGACTCAGTCAACAGCTGAGTGTCTTCTTGTCAAGCTCGACAGTGCAACCAGATCCATTGTTGAGCAACTCAAAATTGGAAGTGCTACTGATTGAGACTCTCTAACATTCTCTGATGACTACTCCAGTATCTATGTTTCAGGCAAAGTTTCTTCGAGTCCTCATGTGTTTAAAATTGGATATGCGGATTTTGGAACTACTTCCATTACTTCGATCCCAATCGGTATGGATTCTGTGTACTCTATCCACTCATATGTGAACTCAGGACAAGAACTCGTGATGATCAGTGGTGCAGTGACAAGTCCCACTCAATCTTACAGCTTGGTGTCAGTCAACTATGACACAGCCACTCAACAATGGGCCAAGAAGTTAGACTGTCCTACTTCATGAGTGTTGACTGGAACCAATGAAGCATTGGTTTTAGAATCTGATAACAAAATCGTCAGCTATTTCTTAGATACAAAGCCTATCATTTATGTGAGCAACCTTGCAGATGGAGCTCTTGTGGGATCCTACGTTCCAGACTTCACCCAGAGCAACCTTGAAATTAGTAGCATCGCTTACTCAGCTTCGTTCAGCAAAGTGTTTGTGCTGATGAAGTATGATTCTGGAGCATACAAACTCGAGTATGATCCTGCAATTGGTTCATTCTCGAATGCTTATGTGAGTACTGCAATCAGACCAGGATGGATCCTTGAAGCTGGAGGCCACACTTTGATCGGGTCTGGAGTTCATAGTGATGCTGATGTCATGGGAGTGTCTCGACTTGCTTCTAATGGAGAAACTGGGATCAATACTGATGTTGCATTTACTTCTACATCAAATTCATTTGTTGTATCATCTGGGTATCCTTACTCTAACGATGCCACATCATTTGTTTCTGCAGCTCCTGGAACTGTAACTAAAGCAACCTCCAATGTTGGAATAAACAATTTGCCATCCACAAAAATTTCCAACACTCTGGATTTCGAGTCTGAAGTGGTATTTAAAACAAAAAACTATGTGTTGGATACATCTGTAGGAGCCACCGGAAACATTCCAAATTTCTTTCCATGCTCGATCAGTGGATCAACTTCAATAAGTTCTGTGATTGATCCCCATTCAAATGGCCAGCCTAAGCCTTCGTGGATAACTATTGGGGGTGACTTGCTTTCATTTGATTATGCTGTTCCGTCTTCAGCAGGAGGACAGACATTTTATTTCACTGGTAAGAGCACTGTTGATGGGCAGACATATTTACAAGATGTTCAGATTAATGTGGCCACTAACTCAAACCCTTCACCAAGCCCTCCACCAAACCCTTCACCAAACCCATCACCAACTCCTTCGATTCCAAGTTCCTCTTCTTCCTTCCCTTCAACTTGTGGAATCTCAAACTGTAAGACTTGAAGTTCGTCTGAATGTACTGCTTGTCAGGATGGCTACATATTGACCAGTTCACAAACCTGAGAAGTCGTGGATGGAAGTCTCAATTTAAATTCTTCGCTAGTCATTGCTGGCTTTGCAGGTGCAATGACTACAACCACATTATCAGGAGTATTGTTTCAATCATCGTCTCAAAACATGTGGGCTATGCTAAACCAATACCAACTGTTTATGGTGATTCCATTTCTGAGATCTGATCTGCCTCTCGACTTCAGAAAGACCATCAAAGCTCTTCAGACCAGCATCCTCAACATCAACATTCTGAATACAAAAAGCCTCCCAGGGTTCCAGAGCATCATCGAGCAACTGGATTATGAGAACCCGTACACAGAGTTCAGAGATAACGAGTATGAATCAGGGAGTGCCTTCGTCAACTGATTCGATCTGATTGTCACTCTGGTTGGCTCGGCGATTTTAGGGCTGTGAATGCACCTTGCTTTAAAGCTCGTTTGAACCCGAAAAAACAGTGGATTCCAATCAAAATTCTACAGCTATTTCGTATCTTTGTTTTATTTCAAACTATATTTGAGATTTTTCTTGGAAAGCTTTTTGTTTGTCTGCCTGGTCTGCATGAGCGAAGTATTCAGAGCTGATAAAATCACTGCTAGCCCACTCTCATATTACATCAGTCTCGGAATCATAATAATCCTTCTCTTATTAATGCTACTTGTAGTTATTTTGTTCTGCATGTTATTAAAGCCTCATGAAAATAAATATGTCAAGGAACTCTTTGAAGGATTCAAAATCAATAATCTTGCTCAACTCCAGAACTTCACATTCCTTACCAGAAGATTCCTCGTAGTTACAATTATTGTAATGATGAGGTCAGCTCCACTAATGTCAAAGTTATTTATTTATGCATTACTTCAATTAGCTTCACTGATGTTGACAGTGATTGTCCGTCCTCACGACGAAAAGTGATCTAACATCATTGAGATTGTCAATGAAGTTACCTACTTTTGAACGATGGTTCTGGTATTTTGTACCCAAAAAATCGACTCTATCATACTTGATGAACTGCTGAATAACTCGATTGTTTGCAACACAGCCATAATCGCTATAATAAGTGCCATAAATCTGGTTTACGAATCTGTGAAGTACATCTATTCGAAGAGGGAGAGGAAGAGGGTGCAACCTCTCACCAAGAGAGTCACTGTGCATAGCAGCAAGTATTTGAATACCATCCAGAAAGACCTGAATGCCTCCATATCAATGTAAGTGAACACTTTATGAATTTGCCAAGAATTTTCTAAAGTAATTGGAAATACCACAAAACAAAAGTTTCTGTAAACTTTAGAAATTTATTTATGAAAATTTTAACTTTTTCAGAAATGGTAGATATGAACTATTTCTTTAAAAATAATTCTAAAAGACAATCGTAAAAAGACTTCTGACGTTTTACTGTCATATATTTTTAATAAAATCATCGAAATTCTTTCTTAAAACCAGTTTCCCAAAATGATGAAGTCATAAAATTAAGTTACTAAGTTACTAATTATTTTGGATAGGAACCAACATGAGGACATGAGACCGCAGAATGTCGACACTACTAAAGATACCAGCAAAGAATTTGAAATCAGCCCTGAACGCAAGCTTCAGCCCAGAGAGGTTGCAGTTCCATACCGCATGTTCAAGAAATCCAAGTTTGCTAAACCTAAAATAGTTGCAATGAATTAGAAAGACATCATGCCTGGTCTGGACACCCCAGAAGATAAGATTTTATAAATATAAAACTTATTGATAATTTTGATTTATAAATTTCGATTTGGATATGTCTGAGTGCCATTTCATGAAACTAAACGAGAATTATATATTAATATTTTATGTTGCAATCAAGAGATAGAGGCACGGGGTTTTGGGGTTTTGGGGTTTTGGGGTTTTGGGG